ATTCATAACTAATATCCTGAATTCCACCTCCATAGACTAGCTTTTCCTGTTTTGGGACATTGCTATTGTTACTGTTCCGTGCCATTGAGTCAGTTCTGACTGGTAGTGACCCTATGTACAACAGAGTGAGACACTGCTCAGTCCTGCACCATCCTTACAATCTTTCCTACGATTGCAACCTCACAGGAGGCCTTCCTCTTTTTCATTGACCTCTACCAAGCATGATGTTCCTCCTAAAAACATGTCCAAAGTCCATGAGATGACACCTCACCATCCTCACTTTCAAGCAGAATTCTGATTATACTTCTTCCAAGACAGATTTGTTTGTTTTTCTAGTTGTCCAAGGTAATTTCAATATTCTTTGCCAACACCATCATTCAAATGCATGAATTCTTCTTACTTATTTGTTGGGAGCCGGTGGCCATTAAGGCCTTAGCCTCAGCCTGAGCCGAACTTGGCTGCTTCCTAGTCTTTCATTTGCAAAACCTGTGAGGCCCTGCCTAAATTCCTGCCTCCGCGTTCCTAGCTACGTGCTCTGTAGCACTGGCAGTTGTAAAGTTGACCTTTTCACCCATTGGTTAATAATGCCAGGCGCTCATTGGACTAAGATGGACTTTGCTTTACACCTGATGGACCTTAATCTGCATGCAGGACGTCTTTGAGAACTAGCGCGCGCCCTTTTACCTACAGCTGATTGGTTAACGTTCTTATGCTTCATTAATGTACCTGTTGGATTGGATGCTGTGTCGCACACCTTATTAAAATATGCACCTCCCAGTTCCCCCTTTTTTATACCCCAGCTTTGCCCAAATAAATGAGCTTGATCAGAGTTTTGTCTTGCTCCACGTCCCCGTGTCTTTTCTCCATCCAGGTTCGTCTTTCCCTGCAGGGCCTTGCTCGTGCGTCCCGCAGGCCGGGACGCCACACTTACTCATCAGCAGCTTTCACCGGCATATGACTTGGGTCAGGTGCACCTTAGTCCTCAAAGAGACATCTTCGTTCTTTAACCCACTTGTAGATTTGTCTGGTGCAATACATCATTCAATTTCTCCGCTGCTGCTTCCACGGCCATTAATTGTGCAGCCAAGCAATATGAAATCCTTGACATTTTCGGTCTTTCCCCTGTTATTGTTTATTGGTCCAGTTGGGAGGATTTTTGCTTTCTTTATATCAGGGTATAATCCCTACTGAATGTTATAGTCTTTTATCTTTATCATTCCAGATCAAAGTTAATAGTCTTTGACCTTCATCAATAAGTGCTTCAAGCCCTCTTTGCTTTCAGCAAGAAAAGTTGTGCATGTCACAAGTTACTGAGTCTGTCGCTAATGTTGGTGCTGTGTTCTTCTTCATACAGACTCTGGATCAGCATGGGGAAAGCACACAAACCCTAACACACTTTTTTTTTTAAGATATGGTTTTTGTTTAAAAAATATTTATTATTAATTTTAATAAATCATTTTATTGGGGGCTCTCAAAGCTCTTATAACAATCCATATATCATATGATTTTTTAAACCCCTCCCCACTTAAAAATGATTTTTAAAAGCATTCAGTATCCCCCTGTTCTGTTCCAACAACTGCCCCTTGGTCCATATGCAGGTTCTGCATGAGCACATTAATTGTGCTTTTAAAGTGTTCTAGAGTGCCCATTCTTCCCTATGATACTCAGAGTTATGATCCACACAGCTGAATCATTTTAGATATCAATAAAACACAAGGGAACAAACAGCTTTCTAGTATTCCCTGTTTTTAGCCAAGATCCACTGACATCAGTAATGATATCCCTCATTTCATTTCTTCTGAATCTGGGTTGATTTCTGACAGCTCCTTGTCAATGTACGGCTGCAACTGTTATTGAATAAGTTTCAGCAACATTTTACTTCTGTGTTATATTAATGACATTACTCAATAATTTCTGCATTCTGTTGGGTGGCCTTTCTTTGGCAGGAAGTCATGTTTGTACTCTTTTGTGACCAATTCCCCTTGTTCAACATTACGATCAGGAGATTTGTCCATGTTTTGTTTGTTATCTTTTCTGTTTTGTGTTCTACTAGGTCTACAATTTATTCAATTATTTTGGATGGTCATTTGAGCTATTTTCAGGTTAGGATAATTATGAATAAAGACTCTTCTTGGCTTTTAATGAACCTAGAATCCCTTTATTTTGAGTATATATCTAGGAGTGTAGTTGCTGGACTGAAGGGCAGGCATTCATTCAGCTCCAGTAGGTATTGAGCAGCAGGTTCTCCAGGTGTCTGCACCATACTGTTAGAAGTTTAATGTGGGTATTTGAAATGAAATTGCTTTAGCACAGTGTAGATCAGTGGTTCTCAACCTTTCTAATGCCATGACCGTTTAATACAGTTCCTCATGTTGAGGTGACCCCTTCAACCATAAAATTAATTTTTTAAAAATTTATTTTCATTGCTACTTCATTATGAATCATAATGTAAATATCTGATATGCAGGATGTATTTTCATTGTTACAAATGGAACATAATTAAAGCATAATGATTAATCACAAAACAATACATAATTATATATTGTGAAATATTTATGTGTTTTCCGATGGTCTTAGGTGACCTCTGTGAAAAGGTTGTTTGAACCCCAAAGAGGTCTCGATCCACAGGTTGAGAACCGCTGGTCTAGATAGAATCTATATAGAGAGAATCTATATCTGGTCTAGATAGAATCTATCTATCTATCTATCTATCTATCTATCTATCTATAGAATTGATATCTGCTCTAGACAGAATATATATATATACATATATATATGCTTATACAGATGATGATAAACCTTAGCATGAATTTACTTCAATCACTTTTCTACCATCTCCAAATGTAAAGTTTATTTAGTAGTTTAAATTCTGTTTATTACTACTTTTCTTTGTTCAAATAAATCAATATTTATTTAGATTTACCTGGATTGCCTTTCTGTCCTTCTCCCTGGGAGGCAAGCACCTCTGCTGGCCCCTGCTTGGTGGGAGGAGAGGGATTGAGACAAACGGTTCCTTCTGCTCAGATAGCTCAGCAAAACATCTTGCTTTGGGGCCAGGGCTCCCCACTACTCTTATCCACTTCTGGGGGCACTACTGAAATTAAGTACCAAAAGTGCAGTTTTAGCTCTTTGGGTATGGGAGAGGAGACTGGGGCATAAGGTTTGTCAGACATCCTCATTCACCTTTCCTCTTAGGCCTTTCTCCTGGGCCCTCCACATTCTCTCCCCAGGTGCTCATCCATACCTTGGCATTAGTGGTTATGCACTGGACCACTAACCACCAGGTCAGCCGTTCAAAGCCACCAGCCCCTCTTCAGGAGAAAGATGAGACTTTTTATTCACATAGAATTACAGTCTCAGAAACCCTCATGTGCAGTTCTACCCTGTCCTATAGGGTCACTATGAGTCAGAATTGACTCGATGGCACTGAGTTTCGTTTTAGTTTAGACACCCCAACCACCAAAATTGGATAATTACTTCAGACATTTATTGTGAACTTCAGACCTATGAATCAAAATCTACTTGACATCTCCATTTATAAGCCTCTCAAATTTAACATATCCCCAAACATTTGCTCTGTCTCTATGTCCCCTGAATCAGTAAATGACTTGTTTTAATCCATCTAGTTACTTAAGCAGTCATTCTCTAATAGTCCTCTTTTTTTTCATCCTTCCTGGCAAACCATTATAATGTCTCTTAGATTCCACCTCCCATTTACAATGTCTTGAAATTATGCACCTCACTCTGTCTCTGCTGTTACACTAGTTCACGAGGCGCCATCATCTCTGCCCTTGACTAATGCACCTCCCTCCAAGCTGCCTCCCAGCAAAACCCTTTTTGCCCTCTTCCAATCTATTCCCCGCCAAGTACTCTGAGGGAGCTTTTAAGTATGTAAATATTATCTTAGTGAACACTCTCTATAAGCCGCCCTTTGTCCTTAAAATATATTCCAAAATATAGTCTGAAATCTATAATGTGGCCAAAAGGACCCGATCGATCTGACCCCACTCATCTCAGCCGTAGCTTCTTCTTGCCCTCTGCCCTGCAGTCACCGGGCTTCCCTTCAGTCTCTAGAACACATGTTCTCTCATGCTCCAATAACCACACACACAAAGTTCCCTTTGCCTGGACACTCTCTTTTTAAATAAACAGCTGTATTGGAACATAATCCACATATCACACGGTCCAATAGTTCAATTATGTCAAGAAGCGCTGGACAGTCATTAGCGCAATCCATTTTAGAGCGTTTTCTTCTTTCTTGTACTCGTTGTGATTAGCGCCCCATGTCTCCCACATGCCCGGGCATTCTTTACTGCCCTTTCTTATGCTGGAATCTAAAAGGAATTTCACTGAGCGCTTCGCTAACAGTTCGTTACTTTCACTCATGTTCTTCATAGTACGAATCACAATGTCAAATTGTGTATTGATTTGTATTTTAATGCTTGCTGCTCCTACCATACCGTCGATTGCCTCGTGTTTTGTTCACTCCTGTAAACCGATCTCGAAAGGAAAATACTGACACGTGGCTGATGTCAAAGTGGGGAAGCCTGTGGCACTGTAGCGCCCGGGCCCTTCTTGCAGGCACTTTCCTCGCTCACTCACAGGGGGCTTCCCGCCACCCCCACCCCCACCCCCGGGCCCCGCGTCCCTAGCTTCACGGCGGCTGGACTGAGTGCGAGAGGCGAACTGGCAGAGGGGGGAATCTAGCCTTATTTCTTTTGGAAGCCCCAGCTCTTAGCGGAGGACTAGGCGCACGCTCGATACAGGTGCGCAAGAAGCTGCCAATCTCCCTTGAAGAGGGCGGGGCTAACGCGGGCCCCGGGCGAGGGCGGGGCACGGTGTTCCTCCCCCAGAACCTGATTGGCCTGCGGGGAGCGGAGGAAGCAGGGGCGGGGCTTGATTCCGTAGGACGCGAACCACGTTGGACGCGGGGCCGCCCACCAGCGAAAGGCCACGCCCGGGCCCACAATGCACCGCGGGACGCGTCACTTGGCGCGGCGGGTTCTTGCTTGACAGGTATGGCCCGACCCCTCCGAGTCCTCTTTCCTGTCTTCTCAGGGTCCCTAGGACCCGGAGCGGGCCACTACCCAGGCTCTCTCTACCTCCGGCCAGGGGCTGAGCCCTAAGTTCTGGTTCCCGCCAGGAACTGAGCCCGAGCCGTGGCGGCGGGAGCCGGGTGTCGTTGGAGCGGCGGGGCCCTGGAGGGGCGGGCCTGCGGGGATCCATCCATCCCCTTCTGCAGGAGGAGCCGTCGAGCCGCGAGGGCTGCAGTTGCTCCTCGGGGGGCCTGCCCCTGGTTGGGCAGGGGTGCCAGGCAGGGTGGGGATTTCTCGGGCTCGCAGATGTCAGAAGTACCGGCATCCCACCTGGCTGGGAAGGTGGCCCGAGAGTGCGTGAGGAGGCATGTCCAATTGCTTGAGGTAGGGTGGGATTTGAATGAACATAGAGCCCAGAGATGATTGACCGCTTGGCTCCCGGCAACCTGGAGGTTGGGGGACTGAGAGAGGAGGCCGAGCCAGAGGTGGCCTGAGTGGCTGACACGTGATATAACAGTTTTGAACTTTCCTCCTGCGCCCCAGCTTCCTGGATCGTCCATTTGGGACGGAGTTGTGTGTTGCTGTGTATGTGTGTGTAGATCTGGAGAACCAGCCCCTCCTATGCTTACTCACTCAAGCAAAGTCCAACCCAGGGCTAAGTGCCAGCCAGGCAGAGGACGGTGCATTCCGGTCCTAGCAAACAGGTGGAACTGGCTGGTTAGAACGTAAGCAACCAACTCCCCGCATCAAATTCTAACTCACTCCGGTGTTAAGATTGCAAGGGACTAAGCCGCACCTCAAACTACCTGCAATATCTGGAATGTGAAGTTGGGTTTTCTGTATTTGAAGGGACACCTGGGACCATACCCTAAATTAACTTGAATATCTACACAGTTACTGTTTTAATCATTTAGGGGTTGATCAAGTTACTCAACCTCTGGGCTTAATTTCCCACCTCATTTTTGGAGGGTGTAAATGAGGTATTGTATATAAAGTGCCCTGGTCCATAGAAGGCAACCAAGAAATACAGATAATAAACCCCACTGCTGAGTCAGTTCCAACTTAACGTGACTGTATCACTCACTGCTGTTGAGTTGGCTCAGACTCATAGTGACTCAATAGGACAGAGTAGAACTACCCTTGTGGGTTTCTGAGGCTTTTCATCAGATGGGAACAGAAAGCCTCCTCTTTCTCCTATGGAGCAGCTGGTGGGTTAGAACTGCTGACCTTGTGGTTGGTTAGCAGCCCAACACATAGCCCACTATGTCAAGTCTCCTGATGTGACCAGATAGCAAGAACTTAACTATAGCATACTGCAAGGCAGTATGTCAAGTGGTTTGCATTTAATTTTTAACTCTGTGAGATAGATACTGTTAATAGTTAAAATTTATAGATTATGGTTGTGCTCCTCAGGGTAGGATTGTATATTTAAATTTATGGGAGCAGAGGAGATAAATATATTTAAACTTGAGTATTGGCCAAATTGTTTTAAGAATGGTGTTTATGCTACTTCTACATCCACCTCTTACTTGTGAGAATACTAGAAAGAAGCAATTATTTATTTTAAAAAGCTGATTTGTTATGTGCTTAGTATGCTGTTACTTTGATTAGTATTTCTCCGATGGCTTAGGGAGCTCTGGCGGCGTAGTGGTTTTGCATTGGGTTTCTAACTGCAAGATCAGTGTTTGAAACCACCTGCTGCTCCTCGGGGCTTTCTACTCCTGTGGGGCAGTTCTACCCTGTCCTTGATGTCAGTGAATTTGGTTTTGGTTATTTTGATAGCTAGTGAGTTGAACTTTTTTTGGGCTTTAAACATTTTCATCTAACCCAAATTATGCATGTTTTTTAGGTCTTCACTATCAGTTGAAATGTCTATGATTTTATCTGCCTCAGTCCTTCGTGTCAGAGATGGGCTGCCCCTTTCTGCTTCTACCGACCATGAGCAAAGCACAGGAGTGCAAGAGTGCAGAAAATATTTCAAAATGCTCTCAAGGAAGCTTGCTCACCTTCCTGATAGATGTACACTGAAAACTGGACGTTATAACATTAAGTAAGACTTCAATTTGTTCCATTCAAATTGCTTCTCTGATGATTGTCATTTTAACAATGTTTAAGTTGTTTGTAATAGAAATTAGCAGTTATTTAGAAAAACTTGTTCAAGAGTCATGTAAGTCTGAACATATACTAAATAATAGTCATAATGTCATCACCCATCTTGCAATTCTCCGCATTTATTTCTGGCTTTAGAAATTTTATAATTTGCAGATCATAGTTATTTTATTCTTATAAGAAGACCTGTAGGCATTTATTGGAGTTCTCACATGCCTACGACTTTAGTAAACAAACTTTAATGGGAACTGTAAAAAGTCTTGCATGATACCCTCTCTTAAAGAAGGGAGAGTGCTTATCCCTAATTACTGCCTATGAAAATAAAACTTCATAGGCAGATTGTGATTTTATCTATGGTGGTAAAGGACCTTTTTGAGAGGGTGACATAAACAGATCTCTCACTGCCATTCAGTCGATTCCAACTCATAGCAACCCGATAGGACAGGGTAGAACTGCCTCGGTGGGTTTCTAAGACTGTACCTCTTTATGGGACTAGAAAGCCTCATCTTTTTCCAGTGAAGTTGCTAATGGTTTCAAACTCCTGACCTTGTGATTAGCAGCCCAATGTGCAATCTCTAAGCTACCAGGGCTCCTAGCAGAGACCTAGAAAATGAGAAAAGGAGGTCATATGAAGGATGCTTTGGATGAAGAACAAGGTCCAGGAGCCCTTCAGTCAAGGGATGAAAGGAAGTCCAGTGATGTGGATCATTATGGACAAGTAATATAAAATACAGGTTGGAATGTGACTTTGGAAAGGTAGGAAATGGGGCAGATTACTCAGGCCTTATAGGCTGTGATAGGGAGTTTGGGTTGAGTCTATAGTCTAGAGAGGTATGTGGTCTGCTTTTAACATTGAGCTGACTGCCCTGGCTGCTCTGAGAGAGGAGTGGAAGCAGATCATCTGAGGAATCCTAGAGTCATTCAGGTAGAAGTGATATTTGTAACTTGAACTAGGGTGATCCTGCTAAGAAGTGGTTAGCTTTGGACTCTATGTATAGTTGAATGCTTAACTACTAACTGAAGGGTTGATGGCTTGAGCCCACCAACATTGGGCCCCTCGGAGCAAAGGCCAAGCAGTCTGCTTGTGAAAGCCACAGCTTTGAACTCCCTATGGAGCGCAGCTCCACGCTGCTACTCACTAGGCCGCCAGGAGGCAGAAGTAACTCGGTGGCAACTAGTTTGGAGCATAGCACCATCAAATCTTCTTAATAGACTGATGCGGGATATGAGGGAAAGAGAAGAATCAGGAATCACCTGTAGATTTTTAGTCCGAGGAACTGGATGGCTGGTAGGCTGAAGTGAGTCAAGTTGGAGGTATGGTTCAGTGGTGAAAGACTTGAGTTCTGTTCCTGAGATGCCTGATAGATAGACATCCAGGAAGCCCCGTCAGATAGGGAAGTGGGTGTGAGCGTCTGAAGTTTAGTAGCGAGAATAAGTACGGAGATTTAGATTTTGGAGTCAGCTTAGAGTTTGCAGTAAAGCCATGGAACTAGATGAGACCCTCTTGGAGAACATACCCATGACACAGAACAATATACATCGGAGCCATTTGATACTGATTGTGCATGCAGTAGGGACTCTGATAAGAACAAGGTCCATATGGGATGGAATGCTGTGCTTTGACACAATGTGTGCTTTCTGTGGGGTTTTTCTGCAAACAGCAATCCCCACGCCTGTAGGTGTGCTAGTTAGTTACAAAGGTACATTAAATGTAGAAAAAAAATAGGGGCTTTATTTTTAAGATGAGATGGATGAGATAGACCATGTCCTGAAAATGTATTACAGTTTGGCCAAGGCAGGCAAGTGAGGGGGGATAATAGGATTAGTTATATGATTCACGTGCCCATCCTGTTAGAGATCTGACATACATAGGCGGGGAGGAGGAGAGTAATAAACCAAGAATGTGACTGAGCATGATAGCTTCATTAAACTGTTTGGCCTGGTGTTGGGGGTGGTGAATTTGGAATAGTTATGGGAAATGTGTGATGATTAGTCGGGGGCCAGATTCTGGGTTGTCCTTAGAAGTTTAGATTGAGGGATGTCATTTCGATGTAACAGGTTATAGGAAGCTGCTGCATTGTCAAGAGAAGTGACTGAAGAGAAACAATGCCAAGACAGTGGAATACTGTATTCCAGCTGAAGAGAGGTCAGCTTGGAAGCTGTCAGAATGGGAGAGGTACTCATGATTAGGGCCCAAACCGGAAATAAAAGTGCAAATGAAGCAGAGGCTAACCAGAAAGACACTTCACAGAAGTGGTCAGCCTGGTGAGAGGGAATCTGAACAGAGAAGAGAAGGACGGCACAGAAATGGCTGAAGGCTTAGACTTGGACAGATGCTGCTGCAGGGTCTGAAATGAGGTCTGGGGAAAGGGAAGAAGAGGAGGGCAATGAAGTTTTTAAATAGAGGTCATGACAAAGCATTCCATTTGAGATGACAGAATAGGGCTTTTGGACTCATTTCTCATAGAAGTGAGTTGGACTCATTTTGGACTCATTTCTCATAGAAGTGGTTGAAACTGAGTTTAGGGAGCCCCCTGAGTTTAGGGAGTGGTCCAAATAGAACTGTAGAGAATGTCTCCAATGATTTTTCTGACATGGGTAATTAATGGTAAGATATTGAGATGCCATGTCTAATTAGATTTTAAGGAGTTAACTAGAAAAATAATGTTATTAAGAAATTTTATCCAAAAAAAGAGAAATTTTATCTAAAAGAATGTCTTAGCCTACTTCCGGTTTTGGAGAAAAAACTTGAAACATTCAAATATTTTATTAATAGTCTATTATTCTGAGTTTCAGCTATAGGTGTTAAAGTTATAGTAGATTGTCATAATTGTATGTTTCATGAAAGTATGCTGGACATACAACACACTCAAAACCTTTTTACAAATGTTGTTTGTGGGTCTGCTTTGGTTTCTTAAGAGTAGAATATAGCATAGCTTTAGCATCCCCTCATTTCTGCTAATTGTGAATTTTGTGCCATTTATTTATACCCAACCTTTTTCCACAAAGGATTTGAGGAAATATAAATATATATATGTATGTATGTATGTATGTATGTATATAAATAAATAAAGCCCGCCCAGGTAAGGGAATCACATGAAAGAAAATTAGAGATAGAATAATAGTCTGATGTAACATTTCCTCCTGGAGGTGCAAATTATATAGTCCATGCATTTGTTAGAGTGAGGATATAGATAGTATGTTGCCCTGAGCAACGTTTGTGTCCAAGCCAAAGAGGGATAATATAGTTAGGCTTAGTTACGGAATTACAGTGCCCATCACATTACAGAAATGTGATGTACCTGAAGAGGGATGAACAGACGATAAGTAGCATTCCTTTAGCATCTATAATAATCCGTGTATGATATTTTCTTATAATATCCCATAATGTATGCAAATGGCATGTGCCAAAAGCAATTTTATAAAAAAATTTAGGGGACTAAAGCAGCAGAAGTCTTAATTTGACAAATGTCTAAATACCATTGAGAAATATCTAAAGAAATAAATAGAGCCATGGCTTCCAGAACCGTGCACAGAAAAACCGCTGTGTGTTATTTTTGTAGCCAAGTGTTATAGATTGTAGTTTTAGTTTTAGTTCTTGACAAGGACCTGATTTTCATGTAGTTTTGAGCATTCAAAAGAAGTCTTATTAATGAGTATCTAGTATACGAAGGAATTTGTGTTACCTGGCTTTTAAAAGTCTCATGTGCCATCTCTTTATCTAGACCCCCTGAATTTGCCAGATAAAATTCAGAGATCTGCCAAAGCACCACTGTAGCACAGCTCGTAACTGGGCCTGGCTGGCTGGCTGCCTCCCTCTCCTTACCTAGCTCTTTCTAAATGCTCTTCCCCTCAAAGGCCTGCGTATACCTTTGTTTGATTCTCCTTTTTCCTCACTACTGCATCTCATTTCACTAACGAGCTCACTTCCTTCACAGATCGCCGGTAGAATTTGAGTACCTTTGTCCTCAATATTAAAATTTCCTATTTAATTGTAATTTCTATATGTTCTCTCTCTGTAACTAGTTTTATAGCTCATTCATCTGCTTTGGCTTATACTATTTTTGATTCTTCAACTCTTAGTGCTGTGGTTTCCAAACTTGTATAGAAATTAGGTGCTCTTTTCAACATACATGTTGCAGAATGGAAGACAGAATAACTCAGTATGTGTGCTAAGATGAGGTGGTACCCGATATGAGATTTTAGTTACAGTAAAGGACTTTTAAATGCACCCCTCCCACCCCGTGTCTTGGGGAAATTAATGAACTTGGTCTGATGTAGAGGCTGAACTGTGTCCGGTCAGCTAGTGGGGCCCATTTCAAGTTGGCATGACTTGTGCCCGCCCGCCCGCACAGTGGGGTGTCCTGGGGGTGGGAGTTGCTGTCCAGTGGGCTCCAGCTCATTGTGTCCCAGACTGAACCATGTTAGGGCCCATACTATCTTCAAGGTCGCTGGTTGTGGCCCCTGTGCATTTTGAGTGCCTTCTACCCCTGTGTAATAAACCTGGTGAAAGTGAGTTGGTAGAGACTCATAGTAACCCTATAGTACAGATGAGAGCTGCCCCACAGGGTTTCCAACCTGTAAATCTTTACCGAAGCAGACTGCCACGTCATTCCTCTCTGCAACAGCTGACTGGTGGGTTTGAACATTCAACTATAGGTTAGTTGCTGAGTACTTAACCACTGCGCCACTCTGGCCCCCTTTTGCTATTGTGTCAGGCAATAATGCAGATGATTTTCATTGGCTAATGTTTGGAAGTAAATTTCCTGGCCTTTCTATTTCATCTGTTTCACTCCTGGGAGGTCTGCTGAAACCTGTCTGTGACCCTTTTGGTATTTGAAATCCAGGTGGCATAGCTGCCTGCTTCATAGCCAAGTGTAAGCCTCCACAGTACCGCCCGCTGACAGATGGGGAGTAGCTGTCTGTTTACGTACCAAAATC